GACTGGGCAGGGTGCTGAGCCCTCTAGTCTAGGTCATGCTTTGCCAAGAAAGGCTGGACCAGATGATCCTTGAGGTCCCTTGCAACCTGGTATTATGTGATTCTGTGATAAATTACTGTTTATTTTGATGTGCTTATCTTTCAATTCAGCTACATAAATGTTTTTTTAGGCACCTTGAGCCTTCTCTTGTTGCTCTGTATCAAAGATTTGGCCATCAATCAACTGGAGGCTTTTAAAGAACAGCTGTGAGCTGCATTATTCCTTATTAGCTGCCTTATTTTATGAAACTTTAGTTGGCATATCCCTCCAAATATGAAGAGAAAAAAAAATGAGGTACTAACAAAGAGATAGTGGAGGTATTAGTTAAGAATAGTCTTTCAAAATTTCCAGCTGCAAATTTATCTGTAACCACTTGGAGTGTTCTGAAAAATAGAGGATGGTTTATACAGCCAGTCCAGGCCTTTCTCTGTTCTTGTCTGAAATGATGATACAGGATTGCTGGTGGGAAACTGTGGCATTCACTTTGTAAATGCTTACCCTAAAGGCTTGTGTTTCCTTGAAGCCAATGTGTAAGTAGCCTGCACAGCTTGTTCTTTCATACTTGCATTGTATCCAGTTCATTTTTCTTGCTCACAAAAAGGTAAAGACAAAGGTACACTTTCATATGTAGAAGGTAGACTTGACTGCAGGGTCAGGACAGGAATAGGAATAGTTAGATGTGACTGTGCTGAGTAAGCAAACAGTCCTTCAGTGAACAGCTGGAGTTTGTGTTCTGGTGGTTTCAAATGCTTGCTATGCAGATTAAATAATGCTTTGGCAATGACAATTATTAGGAGGGACTTGGGAGTTCTGACTGAGGGTTATTCGGTCTTCTAGCTCAGTTTTACTGAGATACTGATTTACATATTGCAGCAGAGCAAACCAGCTCACTCTGCAACGATTTTGAGATCTAGGTTGTGGCAGGTATCTGAACACATGCTGACTTTCTAGTGCAAGATGTAGAATAGGGATTCTGGGAGTTGAATAGGGACTTAGGAGGGTGCAACTTGATTTTGATCTTTCCAGGTTCTCCTTCACATAAATCTGAAGCTTTATATGAGATTAAGCATCTGTGTTGCTCCCTCTCCATCTGAAATCAGAATCACAGAATGGTTTGGGTTGAAAGGGACCTTAAAGCTCATTCAGTTCTAACCCCTATACCCCTGGTCTGGTAGACCAGGTTGTGCCAAGCCCTGTCTGGCCTGGCCTTGAGCCCTGTCAGGGATGGGGCAGCCACGGCTTCTCTGAGCACCCTGTGCCAGCGCCTCATCGCCCTCGTAGGGAAGAATTTTTAACAAATGTCTAATCTGAATGTCCCCTCTGTCAGTTAAAACCATTCCCTTTGTCCTGTCCCTACAGGCCCTTGTAAAAAGTCCCTCTCCAGATTTCTTGTTGAATGATTTGTGATCATTCTAATTGAATGATTTTAATAATTCAAAAACCTCTCAGTTTTATTAAATTAAGTTTTAAAGTCTTGTCTCTCTTCTGAAATATATTTCCTAAAATAAAAATACTTTAACTGGACTTAAGGGACTACAATAAATTCTCTATTGCTAGAGTCATTTTAAATACTGACTGTAGCCTCTGGAGGTGAACTCTGCTAGAGGGTAGTTCAGAGCAAGAGTTGTGACCCTTTCCTTGTCTCACCTTCAGAGACCATTATGGTAAAATCTTTTCTTTCTGTATTCATCAGGGATTCTCTTTTTAGCCTTAAGTATTTTCTATTGTATAAACTTGATAAGCCACTAAATAAGTTGTACTAAAAACAAGACCTCATAGCAGCCTTCCAGTATCTGAAGGGGGGCTATAGGGATGCTGGGGAGGGACTCTTCATTAGGGACTGTAGTGATAGAACAAGGGGTAACGGGTTAAAAGTTAAACAGGGGATGTTTAGATTGGATATAAGGAGGAAATTCTTTCCTGTAAGGGTGGTGAGGCACTTGAATGGGTTGCCCAAGGAAGCTGTGAGTGCTCCATCCCTGGCAGTGTTCAAGGCCAGGCTGAACCAAGCCTTGGGTGACATGGTTTAGTGTGAGGTGTCCTCCCCATGGCAGGGGGGTTGGAACTTGATCTTAAGGTCCTTCCTAACCCTAACTATTCTATGATTCTATAAAAAAGGAACTTATATTAGGATTTAAGCATGTGTAATTTCAAATCTGTGCTGAATTCAAATGTGCGAACATGGGGTACTGGGTGAAAACCAGTGGCATTTTTATATGTGTAATAAGTTTTACATATTTTTATATATATATACACACATATATGTGTGTGTGGGTGAGATCCGTGCATTAGTCAGAAAATTTTCTGCATGTAATTTTGTGTTCTTTAAACATTTTGGGTTTCTGTTCATAGTTATTTGGAAAACATCTGCACTGGCTTGCTCCACTGACCTGTGTAGCTTACTAAAATAATGTTCAGCCTTTACTTTTTGCCTGGATAATGAGATCTTTCATTTTTAGCAATAGCTCTTTGTCACTTAACTCTTACAGTTGGATGGCTACCTCTTCTTCCAGGCATTTTATATGTCTATAGTTCTTAGAGCCGACCATTTCCATTGACATCAGATTTTGTTCCCATACTAGCTTGGCCAATTCAGAATTCAGAACAGAAGCAGTATTGTGTGTGTACTTTTTTTATCTGTTGTGACCTGTGAAAACTAATTAAACACTCCTTAGAACCTCTGGTTTTAAATAGCAAGCCACCAAATAATAACTTTTATTTTGAAACCAAGCTGTTATAATGTGCGAAAAGGACTTAAAACCCTTTATTGCTAACATACTACTAGAAAAATGCATGACTTGTTGCCTGAATATAGTGTTTGAAGGGTGGGTGTTTGTCCTTAACAGGAGGGTATTGCAAAGCATTTTATAGTTGTTCTATGTACAGAACGCTTAATTTTCACATGTTTTCTGTTTATGAAAACATTTGTGTGAGCAGACGTGTTGAGATGTCTTTTCTTTGTTAATCCTTGAGGCCAGTACATAATTTCTCACTTACTTCAATGTGCTTTTCACTAATCAATTAAAGTTGTTTTGATTTTTTCTTTTTTAATTGAGCAAGATTCTGTTTTTGAAGTGGCCCCACACATTTAAATGGTTTTAGTGCTAGTTCATTCCAATGAGATAATGTTGTATGCCTAGTCAGAGCCCTGCAGAGCAGTTTTGGGTGGATCTGCCATATTTTATTTGCTAGGGTTTAATTCTTTCTTCTGTAATGCTTGTTTTGAGGCTACAATGACAAAGTCAATGTGTTGGCTGTAGTATTGTCATGTTTTCTGTGACATGGAGTGTAGAAGTTGAGTTCCCCTCAGCTTTGCTCAATGTGGATCTAACCCATTTGTAAAAACATCAGGTAATTAAAATAGTTTGTGATCTAATGGGGAAGTTGGTATGGCTAGTGGATAGCATTTTGCTTCATGCTATTTACTAAATGTTGGAGTAACAAAGAGCTTTAACTTCATTTTGAAGCAACTGTTGTTCTTTTGCACTGTTCACTACAAGTCGTTTATGGATTTTATACAAACAGCATTGATCCAACTGGAGGAAGTGTGGGAGATTACGCCAATGAGTAATGTTTTCTAATTGTGATCTGTAATCAAGAAACCCAGTGTTTAGACTGTCACGTCTACCAAACAGACTGTCTGTATATAGAGAAGATTATTGCGGGTGAATAATTAAAAGGAATTTAGGAGATCCAGGAAGTTTTATCTTGCAGTGGATGTTGATATATATTTGTTTTGATACTGTCCCCACAGCTAAGAGTAATACAGAAACATTACCTTAAAAGTGCCATCCAAACTAGGCATCTTGTCTGTGACAAGTATCTCCTGTTTGCTCCTGGAAGTAGAGGATTTCTGCTAGAGATAACTGACAAGGGAAAAGAAAGCCTGAGAATAGTTTTAAAACTTGGTACGTCTTTGAGGAGAGACCCTTAAATCTGATTCTTAAGGGTTCTGATGGTTTCTATTAGTTTTAATAGTAGCAGTCAAACATGTTGCTTCTTCCATGTTGGCTTCTCCCCTCTGTGTTGGTCGCTGGTTCCACAGAAGAAAACCAGACTTGGCTCTTTGATCACTTAAGGTCATTACATTGTACAGGCCTCTTACATTAACTGCGTCTAATTTCAGCCTTAAATTATGAAGTTATACTGTAATTGATGGGCAGTAATCCCTGGCAGGGGAATAGAATTGATACGTGGTACTGTAACCTCTTCAGTTGATCCTGTAAGACCTCCTCAACTGGAAGATTTAGAAGAACATGATGAGTCAAACTAGAGAAAAGGAAGAGAACATCCTTCTGCCTACAGCTGTTAATTTTGTAGCTGAATAAAACTGCATTTAGTTTTCTCTATTCTGCATTTCATTGCCTCTAACTCATGGGAAACAGATTGTGTGTACTTGCGAAAGGGCCAGCCCTGCCCTCTGTTGTAAACAGTATTTTATTTTGAAGTTAGCTCTGTTTAGATGTGCAATAAAATAAAAAAAGTAAGGTGGGGAGGGGAAATACATGTGTCAACCATAGGGTCATGATTTTAGTAGCGCTTGTGGAATTCAAGATATCCTTATGGCAGTGTGGAGATATAATACAGACAACATGGCTCTGTTGAACAGCAGGTGAAGGCCAGTAAAGATGCTGTAGAGTCTCTTAAATGACATCTGAATTCCTCTTCAGCTGACCCAGCAAATTACAAAAGGAATTCTGTCTAAAGTGAATGAAACATAGCAAGGCCAGGAACCTATCAAGCACATCCTCAACCCTCACAGCATAAATCCAACTGTTTACTCTTAAAAATGTGCAGGAATAAATAGAATACAATAGCATTAATTGATTGTACAATCTGATAACTCTGAACAAAAGCTGATGGAGAATGCTAGTTAGTTCTTTTTTGTACTAAAATAGTAATACGTGTTTATGTTGTACTTGTCCATGATTAAATTACTAATTATTGTCTTCCTCGTTTAGGTTATGGTCAGACTGGTCCAATGGTTCAGAGAGGTGGATATGACTCCATTGCAGCTGGTGTTTCTGGTCTCATGCATATCACAGGGCATGAGGTATGGTGCTCAACTCACACATTTAATAAAGTCTTTGTGCCGTATACTAAAACTTGATGCTGCTTGGAGCAAGTTAGCTTATGCTAACACATCTGTTATACCCTTCAAAGCCCAACAAGAGGTCTTCTCTCTTGGAATCTGAGAAATTTACAGTACTTATGTCCAGCTGTCTCACTCCAGGCTTGCAAAGCCAATGCCTGAGAAACAGAAAAGGGAAGAAAAATGGTATCCTAAATACCCAGAGAATAAATTGTGAATTTATGTTAGTCTGTTAGTGGCCACTTGTAGTCACTTCAAGAGCTGTAATAGACACATTGTTGACACCTGAATGGTGGAACTGTGCATATGCATGGGAAGTCTCATCTGTGCTTTGATACTGATATTTCCTCTTTAAAGAGGGAATTGTGAAGCCACCCAAGTAACTCTGACAAACTGTCTTTTCACCCATCCTGCCTGAAAATAAGTCGAGAGATGCCATTAGTGGTTCAGGAAAAGCTTTATTTGCTGTTCTTCCCACTAATATCCAAGATCTTTGGTAGTTGCAGTAGTGCAGGAAGCATTAGAGCTGTTTTAGTATCTGGATTCCAGGCATACATAAAATGTGTGTCTTCACCTCAGAAAAATGCTGGTCAAATAGGCGTTTACTTAAGCTGTCTTGAATCACCTACAGATGGAGGGAATGTTGTCTCCAAATATCTGTCTCAAGTGAGGTAGTGTTACAAGTCTGTTCCATGCAGCATAAACATTATCTAGTCTTCTGTTGAGGTGCTTCTGATACTCTGGAAGCTGTGGTGCAGATCTTTAGAGTATGATGCTTGCCTGCCCTAGAAAAACAAAGAGTTCATCAAGTTTCTGTACTTAGTGTCAGATATTCATGTTTAACTAGGTTGTTGAAAGCTAACCACACATGCTCTGGACGTAACCACTGCAGAATCTATATTCTGCCAATAGATTTGTTTTCTGCTGAGAACCATGACAAACATCACAACTCTGTGCTTGTGGCAGTTATTGTTACCAGAGTCTATTAAAAACCCCCACCAAAATAACAAAGAAAAGTCAAGCATTGTTTGACTGAGTAAGCTGAAACATCTTCTGCCTTGTGTCCTAAGACCCTAAGACTGCCTGCCTGTTGCTGCCATGGTAATGATACATACTCATAGGATATGACATCTTAGAACATGAGATGATGTCAAGCTGAGTGCAGGCTTTACAGGTACTTCTCTTCAAATGTATAAAGCAGTGACTGATCACAGTAATTGTAATGTTAGTAGTATTTACTTTCTGACCTTGGTGTCTGTAGAGTGAAGGCTAGTACTTCCAATACAATGCCAGAAACTTCAGGCACACTTCAAAATATGCCAAACAAAATTAAGTGGAAGTGTAGACTGTTGAGAAAGAGGTAAATGTTGTTAGTACCAGTTGAATAAAGGAAAGCATGTTGAAAAAAAATTAAAACAGGACCCTTGCAAAGCTTTACAGTGGTATGGCAATGACAGAAAATACTAGTGTTTCACTGAATAACTGCATTTAAGTTGTATTATGAGAGTAATAGTCCTTAGTGGCCATTATGAAGATGAATTTTATTAGAAGATTGTGTTAACATCTACAGTGGAAATCCAGATGTTCGCATCACCTCACCAGGACTTGAGGCAATGTAATCATAGGAATCATTTAATCATTGTTAGCAACAGTTCTGTGTATTCACTGGGGGCTTTTAATAATTCATTCAAACTTAGTCATTCTTTTGTATGATTAAAATAAATATGCTAAGACTTGCTTCTTTTTTTTTTTCTCTTTATTTGAAGTTGGTCATACAGTATTTCATCAGTTCCTCCAAATCATTTTCTGATGTACAGAGGGACAGTTTTGTTTCAAAGGCCAAGTAATTTAAAATTCCGTGACTCCAAAGAAGCAAATGTGCCTTCTGTTACTGTGGTGAAAATATACTTGAGTGGCTTCAAAAATCATATTGTGTGCTTGTTTGAAAGTTATTTTAAAATAATTATTAATAGTAAAATATTCCATGTTCTACATTTATGTTCATGTGACTGGGATGTGTTTAAAATTCCATAAAAGTAGCTCTGAGAAAAGCAGATAACCTTGTTTTAGCATGTAGAGAAGTGGCTAAAGAAGAAAAAAATTATCTTACTTACTTTTACATGCTGTTTTTCTTTACTAAACCTTGAATTATTTGCTGATTAGATAAGATGGAATTCATATGCTGAAAGTAACATCATTTGAAGCATATAAGACAGGTTGAGAGAGTTGGGCTTGTTCAGCTTGGAGAAGTCTCCAGGGATACGTTATAGCAGCCTTCCAGTACATAAAGGGTATCTACCAGAAATCTGGAGAGAGACTTTTTATAAGGGCATGTAGGGATAAGAGAAGGGGGAGTGGCTTTAAACTGACAGAGGGGAGGTTTAGCTTAGATAGTAGGAAGAAATTCTTTAGTTGGATGGTGGTGTGGCACAGGGTGCCCGGAGAAGCTGTGGTTACCTCATCCCTGGCAGTGTTCAAGGCCAGGTTGGACACAGGGGCTTGGAGCAACCTGCTCTAGAGGAAGGTGTCCCTGCCCGTGGCATGGGGCTGGAACTGGCTGAGCTTTAAGGTCCCTTCTAACAGAAACCAGCCTGGGATTCTGTGATATTTTAGTAGGGTGGTTTTTTTTTCCTCTAAAATAAAATTGCGAATACCAATCTTACGAATGGGGGGAAAAAAGCTATAACAAATCATGCTGGTTTTGTGTTGTATTGCAACAGCTATAGTTATCCAGCATAACTTCAGTGTAACAGTGCTCTGTGGAATCTTCAGTAAAGAAGACATTGAATGTGCTTGCAGAAGGGTCTTAGAGGTATCAGCTGATGCGGTAAAGAAACCTGTAATGAATTCAACCAGCAACAGCAAAACACCTAAATACATCAGTGAGGTGCTTAGTTTTGAGGTATACATATTTGCAGCTCCTCACAAAGCATTTTAATAATAAGATACTGAAATTATGTCCTGTATTTGACACTTTAAAACTGGGTAAAACTAATAGGAATATATTTTCCATCTTAGCTTAGAGAAATTTGATGTAAATTTCAGTTTGTTCCAACCATCTAGCTGCTGATTTAATGTCTTGGGAAGTAGTTTACTGTTTCAGATCATGTAACTTTATTGGGTACTGAAGCCACTCTTCCAGTCAGTGATGTCTTAATATTAAACCATTAAATCAATATATTACCAACAGAAGATTGGAGCAAAACTTCAACCTTCATTAAGTCTGTCACATATGTAACATTCATTTTCTTCAGTAGCTTATTTCATGTAACACTAATTTTTGAAGCGGTTAAGAGACCACAGTAGAATAGGGCAGAATTTTCTGACTAAAATGTGTGTATTTTATCCAAAGTATCTTCTTATTAAAGTGATAAATTTAGTGTAATACAAGCGCAGAGTGCACGAAAGAGATAATATCACATTTGGCACACAGTGTAAGTCTCTTTAAAGGAAAACAAGGTCATATGCTTTATACATCTGATTTTTAAGTTCTGAATGAGGATTCCTGCATGAAGAAATTCTGAATAGCTTGCCTTTTTTATCCCTTTTTGCTAGGCAATAGTTGCTACTGAAATGACGATGTTGATTACCTTGAAATGCTTCCGAGCAGAGCTCTGAACCATAAAATCAAGCTACAGCTTCTGCAGTATTGCAGAATAGGCACAAACAACTGCATTTGTGCTAGTGTGGTTTTTTGCTGGTTTTATAAAAACAGAGACATGCAGCGCACAGTAGAATGCAATCTTTAAACCATGTTTTTCTGTGTAGAAACCTGCATAGAACTGAAACTCTTACCCTGTACTTGATTACCTCTGTATTGGAAGTGTAGGGCACCTGTGTAACTTGAAGTTCCAAAGTGTTTATTGAACATTTGCATTTGTGGGAGATCTGTTTTGTGTAAATGTGTACCACAAACCCATTTTGACTGAAAGTGGTTGTTTTAGGCCACGTTCAGTGTTTCTTTACATAAATTAAAACATGCTAAAAAGATGAAGTTTATGTCGATGACGCTTTTATTGTCTTGGATGACATAATTTATAGATATTTCCTGCTTAAAAACTACATTCCAATTTTATATTTGATGAACTGAAAGCTTTTTCTTAATATATTCAGATACATCAGTGCCAGATGAATATCCCTTTGAAAATTTCTATGACTCATTGAGGCAATAGCTTGTAATCAATTAAATAAAACCCAATTTGGATACAAATCCTCTTCCATTTCCAAGTGGATTATTACAGGCAGTTTTTGGTAGAGTATCTCTATAGTGGTGCATTCTTGCTTGCTAAAGAAACATCTTTCTTTTACTGAACATGAGACAGCAAGACATGAATGGGTTCTACAATACCAGAGGGGCCATTCTTCAGCTTAAAACCAAACCAACTGCAACAAAAAGCACACACGGCATATAGCTCATTGCTGTTATAAAAATATAGCCATTGCTGGTTCATATTAGCTTCAGCAGCTATTTCCCATCTGTAAGGACTACTGGAGTTAGAATGGTTTTATTAAGGATGTCATTTCAGAACAATTTTCATTTTTAATGGATAATTTTTATATTACTAATGTAATTTGGGGAAGAAAAATTGTGTCAGTGGGTAAAAAAATAAACACAAAAATACTTGGGAAAGGAAGCTTCCAAGATGTGGAAGTTGTGGCTATCTCTGGGCCAGAATGTGCTGACAAATTGTAAGGAATTTGGCAAATAGCAAAAAATAGGAATAAAAGTGTAAACTGGTGGTAAGCTTGAGCAATAGCAAAACACAGAGATGAGAAAAAAAGGGTCTGCTCTACCCAAGTGTATCTTCATGTTTTCAAATGAACAAAGGGCAGGTCCTGGTGCTGTCCCTGCTTGGGGTTCAGCACAGCCCTTGAGCCTGGATGGCAGCTTTGATTGCTTAAAGCGCTTTCTCTCTGACTAGGGCTACATCTTATCCTTCTCCCAGAACATTAATACCACTTTTGTCTGGCAGGGACGGTAGCGGTATTTATTACTGATAAAACAATGAATGAAAGCTACTGTATCAATCTTTACTTTGCTCAGGGAACTAGGATAACATTAACTACACAAAAGTACTGTGATGCTGTGAAAAGCGCTTTCTAAAGGAAGGTTATTTCTATGTCTGTGTAGATTTATCCTTCATATAAAGCAGCTTCATATCCCTTGTTCTGCAGGATAGAGATTAAAACCGGAATGAATCCATTTCACACTACTTAGAGTTGTGCATCCTGTCACAGACTGGTTTATGGCACAGGTGGACATTATAGGATGATAAAAGAGTGACAAATGGCAGCTACTCATGGATGTTGTTAGAAAGACCAAAAAGGAGTATGGACTGCTGTGGAATTACGGGTTGCAGAGTGTGAACATAACTCTCTTGCAAGCTTAATGTATGATTCTATATAGCAGTATAGATACGACTACTTAAAGGCAGAATCTGAGCATCTGACCTCAGACTTTTCTGAGTGGGAAATGGGAGAACATCTCAGAAGAAGCAGTTTTCCTATGTAGAAGCCTAATTTGACTAGAATTAGTTCCTTTTGCCATTGATTTCAGAAGGGCTATATTTTGTGCCCTTTAATTAGCCAAGTTCTGAAATACACGATGTAAAATGAAAATTTGTCCCTTGGTGCCAGAAAAGAGGATGACCTGCTGAAAAAATTTATCTGAACCAACAACTTTCCAGTGATTATTGGTCAGGAGGTCAAGAATTTGTGTGCATTTGTGTATGTAATGTGTACATGGGTAAACAAAACAAAGCTGGTTGGAGGGAAGGAGGTGGCAGAAGAGGAGGGAGAAAAAGAGTGAGAAGAGCAAAGCAATATGGCTCTTCCTTTCAAACACACATGAACTGGGTCAGCATACTGTGGAAGTCTTTTAGACCTTTGGCTTCTAGGCATAATGAAGTTAAGTTTTCACTGGATTCTCTTGTCTCTAACAGTATCTTTTTTTTTTGCATTGGTGAGTAGAAGCATTATGTTATTAGGGCCAAAAATAGCATAATAAATCATTCACAACTTGCATTCTGCAGCATCACGAAGTTGCTAGTATTGTGTAGATACTGTAAGAATATCTGGTTTTCAGTGGTAGTTTTTATACTTCAGTTCACTCAAGGATGCTCTCATTTCAGTTTGGCATGACAAAACATGTAAACGCTTTTTTCACGAGTCTGGTGTTAAATGTACTATATCAGTAATAATTTGCCTGTGTTTTCTCACCTCCCTCCCTCCCCCCCCCTTTTTTTTTTGTTTATTGTTTGTCTTACTTTGTTTTGGGGTGTTTTCTTCTCTTCTTTAGGATGGTGAGCCAGTTAGAGCAGGAGTAGCCATGACTGATCTTGCTACTGGGTTGTATACCTATGGAGCAATTATGGCTGGTTTACTTCAGAGGTATAAGACGGGGAAAGGACTGCACATTGACTGCAATCTCTTGTCGTCTCAGGTATGGGTTTTAAACATTGCTTTTAGTTGTGTAGATGTTTGAACCTAATAATACTATTTTGACATAAATTAATGCAGATCAGTTAGTACAACTGATGACAACAGTAATGCTGTTAGTGACAGTTTCCTTAGTCTGCCACTCTAGTAAGTGACCATTTTATATAATGTGGTTATAGTTACTACTACATTAACTTCGGGTTTTAGTTTTCACAAAGGACCTCCATGTTCTTTGAAAATATGGGTTAATTGAATTTTATAGCATCCCTGAGATTATAAGTAACAGCTGTAATAGTTTGAGATAGACAAGCATAAATGATGAAACCACTGTAGGAAGGGAGGCTGTGGCACTGGGTAATAATACTACCAGAGTGACTGAATGACTTGTGCAAAATCACCGTGAGTAATCAATTATCTCCCAAGTGTCAAAGTGATATAATCCAGGAGGTCTGCCTTTTGCCTCTGGGAGTTCAAGTGTAAAGCAAGCTTGAAGTTGCAGTGTTTTCTCTAGGCACGTTAAAGACAAATCTCATCAAATTGTAAAGACAAAAGATGGTTTGATCATGGAAGGTATACCATATACCACAAATAAGGAAAACTAAATTATCCTTGAACATTTAAGCACCATTGGTGCAATGATTTATCATTCAGAAAAAGAAAGTGATGTTTATATGAGCTGCGTATGACTGGATGATGGTTTATCTGGCTTATTTAGGTACCTGCTCATAGCAACTGTGTATATCATGCATGGGAATTTTTGGTTCCATTTTAAAATATGCATCAAAACTGTATGCAGTACTCATCAAAGGTATTACAGTGCTCCATTATTTTATTCTTTATTCAGTTGTATTTTTCTTTACATTATACCTGAGTTCATTTGGGAGATAGTGTGTGATATGTGAGTACATGTTGACAGGGTGCCTGTTGTGCAGGAAGTTGGCTCCGGTGTGAGCAGGAGGTTGGAAAAGATGACCTCTAAAGATCCCTTCCATCTCTGTCGTTGTATGATAAGAACGATTCAGACTAATGCTTGAGGTTGCTCTTGTTTTAATACCTACTGCTCTTTAAATACCTGAAATCAGAGTGGGGAAGGAGGGGAAGTTCTTGTTTAAATCAACAAAGATTTTTTACTTTGTTTCAGAAATGTTTGCAAGGACTGAACTCTTCATCATACTTACGTGTATTTGTAAATTCTGTGTCTGGATTTGAAAAAATGTAATAAGCAGTTTAGAAAACTATTTTAGATGTATGTTAAGCTCTTACTGAATGTCTTGTATATATATGGAAATTTGGTTTTTTTTTTGTTTGTTTAATGGATCATAGGATCATAAAAGGATACTTCTTGATCCTTTTAATTTCTGATTTTACTAAAGGGACAAGGGACTTCCAGTAATTTCTGTTAATTTCGAGAGTAATTCTGTTATTTTTGATTCATTATTCCATTACTTTTTGGACTTATTTTTTTAGTGGAACCTTCTTGATTATTACTTGATATTTATTGAATGCTGAAAGTAGGAAGAGTTTAAGTTAGGTGGTGGGGTAACTCTTATTCCACCTTACTTTGTCACCATCTTTTTCCTTGGGTAGGATAGATCTGGCTAGGCACAGAAGTGTTCTCATACTGCATAATTTCCATCATTATCTTTTAGGGCTCTCACTGACATAGAAAAGGAAGGGAATGAGAACCTGGATAAGTGTTAGTGAATGAAGCAGACAGGTGATTTGACTTCTGTGTGCTTACCTGAAGCAGTACTAAATTGTGAAGGGACAGTTTAGTGATTTCTTTTTTTCCTTGTAAACATTAAGTCATTTCATGTTTGTTATCAAATTATGGTTACCTAAAACTTATTAAGCAGCATTTCCATACATGCACATTCTTATTGCAAGATAAGGTTTTATTTATTTCAGTGTTGGCTAAATTAAACTGAAATAAGTTGGTATTTTGGAATAGAGTGTGGGTATAAGCTTTCATTCAGAAATCAGCTATTTTCTTTTAGATAACCCTTTTGCTTCAGTCCAAATTAACTTTAGGTTGTTGGCCCAACGCGGTAATGAGAACAACTATTAAATTGGAAGGAAAGATTTACAGATGAGGTGCTGGGGTACCAAAAATAAACCCGTGTGATCAATCCCATTTAAAAAATGTGTTAAAATGAAGAAGAAAATAACTGAGGGCTGAGTCTCTCTGAGAACATTTTGCTTTCCCGGTTTGTTTTCTTTCTTTTTGCAAAACTGGCTGTTACTTGTCAGTCTTTAAGGGCAAGTGTACTATCTAAATGTAAAAATGAATGTAAGGAGAAAATTGCTCTTGCAGTACTGCTGCTGGTAATGTTTTTCTTAAAGGAAAGATAGATGATTACTGTGATACGATCAGGCTCCTGAAAGATCTGTGCTTTCAAAGGGATTATGGTTTTACATACCAAGCTGAGATATCTAAAGCTAGCTCTTCCTCATGTGATTAATGTTTAAAAAGAATTGCCTTCTGAAGTCTCTCACGGGTGCTGCCAATGCGATGAGGACCCTAATGTTGTAGATTTTTAGTTTGTTAGGTTCTTACTGCAGCTGATTAATGGTGGGATCTGAGGTCAAATGCATCATGGTAACTTTTCCTTCAGTGTGAGTTTCACTGGAATATAGTAATTTTTAATGAGAAAGGAATCTTTCTTTCTGCTTGTAAAACAAAAGCACTACTGAAACATCCTCCTTAGAGAAGTGTTACAACAGCAGGGACCTGGATGAAACTTCTGTCAGTATTTCATGTGCTAATATAGCAGCATGCTTGACCTTTAGTCCATCCCTTCATCTAAACTGAGAAGTATGACATATGTCTTCATTGGGCAGTGTTGATCATAGAATCACTTTGTTTCAAAAAGGAAACTCAGGGGTTAAAACACTTAAATCCCTGAAAACAGCTTGTTTTATTTTACAGCACGTCCATGCCCATCTACATCTGTGCTGTCATTTTTCTGTATGCCATGTAGAACTGCACCAGGATTTGAGATTTATTCTTTTTCAGGGCTGGAAGATGGTTCTGATATTAATTGCCCGCACAGATAGGCTAATGACAAAGAGCATTGAACTGAATTCTACTGCCTACAAAAATGATCTGAAGCTTTTTAAAGAAACATCCCACGGACTGACAAGTTTGTGTAGTATTTAACTGGTCTGTGCAGAACCAAATGTGCTCTAAAGAAATGTTATTTGTACAATAGCTTAAAAAGACAGCTTTCTTTCAAATTCTGTATATCAAACACATTTGCCCTATAGCTTTATAGCAGCTCATTATTACCAAAGAGGCTTTTTTCCCCACAACAAAATAGAATTCTAGGGTTTTACTGACAAGAGAGATATGGTGACCGCTAGGATGTGGTTTTGCAGTGAGTACTAACTTTCTATATCTCTCATCTATAAACTTTTAACCCATGTCATACAACTCCTTTGAAATTTTTGACTTGTAGATGATTTACAGTTGCCAGCTCCAGACCTTTCAGCATCTAAATAGTGTCCTTTAGATGATGCTAGTAAATAAGAAGGAAGTGGGTTTTGGATTTGGTTCCAATTATGCAATTGTGCCTTTTCTTCTGTTGTGGCTTAAAAAAAAAAATCTCTTGGAAGTTTTAATATCCTTCCTGTATTTAATTACAACCAGGCTCCGACAAATACTGTAATAAGCTGGTTTCTCTTGGATTGAAAATCTGCGAGAAGTATTTTACATTTTACATTTCTGTAATTTTGGAGTTTATTTTTTTTTTCCCCAGATTCCACAGACAGGATAATGTGGTTAATATTGTTTGTATTATATGATTGTTCATCAGACATTTCTCTGCTTCTCGTTAATATGCTGTAGTTTGTATTTGCCATAGTGAGCGCTTCATCTCCTCAAAAATTTGAAGTGACCCTAGAAAAACTGAGCAAAGTGGTATAAATCATTTTCTATATTCCATCTGTGTGCTTTAGTTTTTACTTAGTTTTCTGAGATGATGGTGAGGTTTAGAAGCTATTAGGTTTTATTTCTGCACCACTTTTCCTCAAGATGATTGTCTTTAAGGCTTATCTATTTAAGGTGCTTTTAATGCTCTCTCTTCAGGGCTTTTATAACATATCTTTTAGACTGGTAACACTTACAAGCTGCTTGTAGGATATAAATGCATCACAGGGTTCTTGAGCAGCAAGTTCTATGAGAAATACCGATCTTGGAACTAAAATACTGTTCGGGTGTCTTGACTGCATCTTGTTGCTTCTCTGCTTGCCTAACTGAGAGTTGCGAGTAGACTGACAGCAGAAAGAAGATCTGCTTTATTTAGAGGTCATTGCTGCTGGTGATTTTGGAGGCCAGCTAGGAGGACTCTTACACAGTTGTTTTGCGTATGGTTTGAATAAGTGTTTCCTTTTTACAAGCTTATAAAGCATCGTCTTTGCAAAACACTATTCTTAATCTCTGTTATGATAAATAATTGTGTATGCACTGTATGGAGCCATTGTCTTCTTCACTGCACAGCTCTGATATGGAAAGATAATAAAATCTGAATCAATGTGAACATTTCTTTAAATATGTGCTGTGCATTAAACGCTCTTCTTGGCTACTATTCTTGATATTTTCCACTGAGGACATCAGTATAACTAAGAACAGAACTTATCCCTCAGGGTTTAAAGTAGCTAGCATTTTATTGAATAGACCAGAAGACCATACTACCATGACAGTAACTCAATTTAATATTAGCCTCTGTGGAATGTGTGTTGTGATTTCTAATGATTAGTTATGCAAAAAGTCGTTGGTAGATCATACTCCAACTGGATCTTGGATTTATTTAGTGGCTTTCTTTGCTCTGTAAACAGAAGACATACCCAGAGAGCTGTGATCTGACAGTAAATTCTATGTCTTTTTGTCTTTGCTGCTATTGTTCCTTTGGTAATGAAACTAATCCTGAATGTGTTAGCTTCATTTTCCCGTGTCAAGCTACTACCTCTGTCATCAATTACAGAAAGGCTACGAAGGAGATAGAA